GATTCTGTCTGGGAAGAAAGAAAGAAAGAAAGAAAGAAAGAAAGAAAGAAAGAAAGAAAGAAAGAAAGAAAGAAAGAAAGAAAGAAAGAAAGAAAAAGAAAAGCAAGTAAGCTGGGGGCTGTGTAGCTCAGTGGTCATCTTGAATGTGAGAGGCCCTGGGTTCAAGCCCCAGTAAAACACACACACACACACACACACACACACACACACACACACACGAGCGTGCACACAACTGTGAAAGGCCCAATTCTGTTGTTTGAGGTCACTCAGTTCGCTTGTGGTGATTTGTTACCACAGCCCTAGGGAACCAGTGCTGGAGGCACGCACTGCAGCCACGTCCTATTCCAGGGAGCTTTGCCTTGTTTCAAAGTGTGACCAGGAGCCTCACAGAGGTCTTCCGGGGGAGGTTAGACTTCTACATCACTCCACTCCTAAGGACACAATTAAGAGCGGTGGGTCCTCCCCAGGGGAAATGATACCGGGGTGCTTGCTTTGGATGGTCAAACAATGTAGGATGCAGGTTCTCCTTTGGAATAGCTTCATTGCCCAGGGCTAAAGACGGAGAAAGCTGAGGATTTCACGGGGTCCAGTGCCTGGTGCAAGAAAGATGCCCAACAAAGAAGGGAAGGGTGGATGAGAAGTGCTTCAAGGGGGACTCCGCCCTTTTTTACTCCTTCACCAGCTACCCGCTTCAGACGCGGCGGCAGGGTGGAAAGCGAACCTGGCCGGGAGGCGGGAGGCCTGGTTAGAAGGCCAGGTCCGGTCCCTACCCCTCTGTATGCTCTTGGGCAAGTCCTTCCCTCGTCTCAGCCTCAGTTTCTCTACATTACAAGGAGAGGAACCAGGGCTGGACTTGCCATCTCCAAACACCTGGGTTTCCAGGTGGGAGCACGTGGTGGCGGAGTGGGGTCCGGGGGACACCGGCGACACCCAGGGTTTGGGAAGTCCCTTTGCGAAGGCCTGCACCTGTGCCATCCGCGGTCGCGGGCGAGCGATTAGCGCCCTGGGAGCGGAGTGCTGGGGTCCGACTCGGGCCGACACTCACCTTCCCGATGTTTCCGCTGCTGTACGTGTCCAGCAGGTTTATAAACACCCTCTGGACCCGCAGGACCTTCTCCGTCCGCGGGGCCTCTTCGTCCTCTTCGGCCATGGTGGGAGCCACGTTGGTTGCTAAGGTGACCGCGTCCCGGCAGTTGCGGAGGAGGCGGGGCCTCGGCCCCGGGGGCGGGGCGCG